ATAGAGGGGGTGGATGGGGATAGATAGATAGATAGAGGGGGTGGATGGGGATAGATAGATAGATAGATAGAAGGGGTGGATGGGGATAGATAGATAGAGGGGGTGGATGGGGATAGATAGATAGATAGATAGATAGAGGGGTGTAGGGGGATAGATAGATAGAAGGGTTGTATGGAAATGGACAGATAGAAGGGGGCTGGATGGATGATGGTGTTGCCCCATCTCCGTGTATCCCTGAGTGGGTGCCCAGCGGGGAGAGGGGTGAAGCCCCCATGATAACACTCCGAGTCCCATCAAGTTTTGCATAAAATCTTTGTTTTTTTTCTAACTATCCCTTTTGGGTGCAAAATCCCGGCTGGACCCTCCTGTGGCATGATCCCAGGAGCCCCACCCCAGCAGCAGGTCCATACACCGGACTGCAGATTGCTCCCCGCGCGGGAGCTGCAGATGCTGGTCTGACGGTGGGGCTGTCCCCAGCTGTGTGGGGCCGAGAGGAGCCCGGGCTGGCTGTGCGGGGGCTGGGGACAATCCCCTCTTCCAAGGAGAGGCGACGACATTCTGCAGAGCGGAGAAGGGGGCTGAGATGCGAGGAAACCCCAGGGGCTTTGCTATGTGCTGGCGGCTGCCTTCAGAGATGGGGTCATTGTCCTAGGAAGCCTGGGCTATGCTCCGTGCTGGGCCAGGGGGATCCCTTCCCATCACGGGAGGGGGAGGCTGGGGCGGCTGTTCGGAGATGCAACAGCGTTACAGAGCATCTCCGTTCAGGGCAGCCGGGTGATCAGAGCTGGCGTCCCCACGCACAGCTTGGCTGATGGTCCTCGGTCCTGACCCACCCCCCACCCCCCGCCATCCCAGCCCTGCCCCCCCAGCTCTGCCGGTACCTCTCAATCCCGACCACACACCCCCCGCCATCCCAGCCCTGCCCACCCCAGCTCTGCCGGTACCTCTCAATCCCTGACCCCCCCCCCCGCCATCCCAGCCCTGCCCCCCCAGCTCTGCCGGTACCTCTCAATCCCGACCACACACACCCTGCCATTGCCCCTCAATCCTGCCCCGCAGCCCCCTGCCATCCCAGCCCTGCCCCCCAGCTCTGCCGGTGCCTCTCAATCCTGCCCCGCAGCCCCCTGCCATCCCAGCCCTGCCCCCTAGCTCTGCCGGTGCCCCTTAATCCCGACCCGCAGCCCCCTGCTAGCCCAGCCCTGCCTCTCGCCCTGTTCTGGAATCCCGTCCCCTCGGCAGTGCTGATCCAGCGCCCCGACTCCGTCACCTCCCCTTCGCCGGGGGACTTTGGCGTGGTAATGAGCATCACTTGGCTTTTCCTTCCCGTGCTCCCCACTCAGCAGCTGGTCACAGACAGACCCCGATCGCAGCTCCCCGGCGTCCCTGCTGCCCTTGCCCCCCTCCCTCTCCCTTAATTAGCGTCTTTGCTATTCTGCCTGATCAGCAGACAGTGCGGGGCTCTCCAGGAGGCTCCCCTCCCCCAGCCTCTCTACCCACGGCTTTGGCCTCCCTCCCCTGCACCAGAGAACCCAGCCCAGGGCACACTGGGGGGCACGGGTGTGATGGGTAATGGGTGGCGCCCGTTGTGAAGGGCCCCGCAGCACAACTGACCGGAGTCCTGGAGCAGAGACAGAGCAGGCCGGGCGCCCCGAAGTGCTGGCACCCTTCCCCGATGGGGGAGGATAATCTAGGGACATGCAGCCTCCTCCCCAGGGGAAACCCAGATCTGGCAGGACTGGAGCCAGACTCCAGCCCCCTGCATCCAGCTGGGCCCCGCTCATCGAAGTACCCGGGGCACTGCATTCACCATGGCGCAGTGCAGGCTGTGCCAACCCGGCAGAGCCCAGGCCGCAGAAGTGGGGGACAGACCCACAGACAGTAGCTGACCCAGAGGGGCCTTGGTCACTATCACAGCTAAGGAGGGGTCACCGGCCCCCCAGAGCCCAGGAAGAGAAACCCAAACCCCGGGACTGGCAGCAGGGCTGGGGTAGTTACATGGGATGTCCTGGATGGCGC